GAGTACGACCAGCAAGATACAACACGAACCACTTGTGAACGACTCCCGATAGTCCAAATGTTTGCTTCAGTTTTTTGAGAAGTATTGCATGATCGACGCAATCGAACGCCGAGCTCATGTCCAAGAGAGCAAGCAATGGACACATTTTGTTCGTCCATTGATGAATACAACCTTGACGAAACATCAATTAAAGCTGTTTCCGTCGAGTGAAACACACGATAACCCGACTGGTGAACCGGCAGAAGATTATGAATTTTCAAATGAAAAGCAAATTGTGATAAAACGATTCTTTCAACCAACTTTGACAAAAACATAAGGTTAGATACAGGTCGGTAATTTTTTAACTCATGTCTATCAAGAGAATTCTTCTTCAAAATCGGTGTAACAACAGCATTTTTAAACGCTGATGGAAATGAGCTAGAACTCAAACACAAATTTATGAAAAACGTTAAAAACGGTAAAAACAAATCAACAAATCTTTTAAGAATTTTTTTGGGCACACAATCAAGAAAACAAGATTTTGATGGAGACTCTAAAATGACTTTTTTTATGTAGCTGTCGGTACAGGGCGAGAAGTTTGAAAAAAAAAGATTCTTCATGAAGATCACATGGAGTGAATGTTGGTTCATCACGAGGATTGGTTAAATTACGAACATCATCAATTTTGCTTTTGAAAAACTTGGAAAAGTCAAGAGAACTATGATCAACTTCTGATACATCCATTACCTGTTCCATTTCAAGCAAACCGTTAACAGCATTCCAAAGACGTTTTGGTTTGTTGCTATTTGATTCCACCAAGTCTTTCCAATAACAATTTTTCTTTTTGACAAACAAGCAATATTTATCTTTAATAGCTTGTCGCCAGATATTCTTATTTTTATCACTTGGGTTGTTTCGATAAACCCGTTCTAATCTGCGACATAGCCTTTTCAAATCCCTGCACTCTCCGTCGAACCAAGGGGCTAATGGCACATGTTTAGAGTTGACATAGTGTAGTGGTGCCACTTCATCAAAAACCCTCCTCATCTCACGATCAAACAACACAAATGCATCATCCACGTCATCACTATCAAACGGACCACTGATTGGAGAGTTTAAAATTAGTGATTTAAAACGATGTGTATCCAAACGGTTCCAAGAGCGTACCAACCGCCTTGTTGTCAATGGTAGCCTGACACTGACCGAGAATGAAACATTAATCAGACCATGATCTGAATAAACACCACTGGGATCCACTCTACAATTAGACAAAGGAATATCAGGAGTGGACGCAACTAAATCAAGTGTGCCACCCAAGTTATGGGTAAGCTCATTAACCACGTTTGTTAACTGAAACGAATCAAATATTTCAAGCAAATTAATTGAGTGTGTATCACCAGGCCTTTCAATATGAATTTTAAAATCCCCAGCCACTATCAAACCATCACCCAATGCAAATAAATGTTCTAACACCGATGTCAGCTCACCAAAAAACAAAGATGTGACCAATTTTGAACCTGGTCTGCAAATACCAAAAACAAAAACTTTGCGACGCTTAAAAGAAAATTCAACTATAATAGCCTCGAAGGTCTGAAAAACCGGAACTTCAATTTTCCTGGCCTTGAACATCTTCTTGAAAAAAACAATAAGACCACCATGGTAAGGATCATGAGGCCTCAACACTTGCAAGAAACTAAAACCTGGCGGCATGGCCAACTGAATAGAAGGATCTTCAGGAGAACCATGCAACGTTTCACACAAAAGGAAAATGTCCAATCCACCAGATAACAATTGATAAACAACATTAAACTTTGCTATAACAGACCTTATATTAAGAAGACCAAAATTTAATACTAGATGATTGCAGTTTTTTGAAGCTTTACTATTTTCCAGCGTCCCACTTGGCCCCTACGCATGACTCTGTTTTTGATGACAAAACTGGCGAATTTAACAATAACTGGACGTGGAGTTTTGGAATCATCAATTTTCCTCTTAAAATATCATCATCCTTGATAGAGTTATCAGTGAGAGAGCGCAAAATAGCAGAAACTGAATCATTGTCCTTTCTATTAGATTCAATTAAGTTGAAAATAATGACGTTGTTTTCTCTCTCTTTGATAGTATTCACCACTTCGAGGGTACGCTGCACAATCTTGACGTCATTTTTAACCGCATCGATACCCTGTTTGACTATACCAGTCCAAGATTCATTCATCTGCTGCTTGAAATTGTCAAATGATTTATCGAGCGTATTGTCGACGCTATTGATCTGGTTCAACCTATCACCATTTGCTACTACCAATTGCTTTAGTTCGCAAAAATCTTTACATAACGCGGTTGTATGTTCAGAAATCTTTTTAATTTCCAATTCTATTTCATCATTTTTATCCAGAATTGGTTTGGTCAATGTTTTCAAACCATCGAAAGACCTGAGGCAACCATCGCAAATGTATCCGAGATTTCTACAGTTGTTCATAGCAGGCAGAATGTCTTTAGGTACACTTTCTGCAGGCGGAACATA